TGGTGTCTGCAGAGCCCCTGCACCCTGGGACTGGCCCCGCCTCACGCAGTGCCTGTTCTCTGCTTTACAGCCCCCTGAGCAGCCCCCGTACCCACACCATCAAGGTGGGCCACCCCACTGCCCCCCCTGGAACAATAGCCACGAGGGCATGTGGAGTGAGCAGCGTGGTGGTGACCCTGGCTGGAGTGGACAGCGTGAGGCACCCTGGAGTGGACAGCCTGAACCTGGCTGGAGTGGCCAATTTGAGGGCCCCTGGAACAGCCAGCACGAGCAGCCTCCCTGGGGAGGTGGCCAGCGTGAGCCGCCCTTCCGTCTGCAGCGCCCACCTCCTTTCCGGGGGCCCTTCCCACCACACCAGCAGCACCCACAGTTCAGCCAGCCACCACACCCTCACAACTTCAACCGATTCCCACCACGCTTCATGCAAGATGACTTCCCCCCTCGGCACCCCTTCGAGCGGCCCCCCTACCCGCACCGCTTCGACTACCCGCAAGGCGACTTCCCAGCTGGTGAGTGCACAGGGTCTGGGGTACAGGAAGACAGGCCCCACTGAGAAGGTTCCAGCACAAGCAGTGGCACCCCAGCCTCTGGGCTGCTCCCCAACGCTCATTTCTGTCCTGCAGAGATGGGGCCCCCACATCACCACCCCGGCCACCGCATGCCGCACCCTGGGATCAATGAGCACCCACCCTGGGGTGGGCCCCAGCACCCCGACTTCGGGCCTCCCCCCCACGGCTTCAACGGGCAGCCCCCGCACATGCGGCGGCAGGGTCCACCCCACATCAACCATGACGACCCCAGTCTGGTGCCCAATGTACCCTACTTCGACCTGCCTGCAGGGCTGATGGCCCCCCTTGTGAAGGTACATGGTTGTGGTCGGCTTCCCAATTGCCAGCGGGTGGGGCCCTTCCCTGTATTGGTCCTTACCCATCTGGGGTCCTGAGCGTGCTGAAGGGTCCATGGAAGACACCTGAGTCCATGTACATGTACCACGTGAATAGCTTGTCTATCCTGGCGAGATGGATGTGGGGGCTACAGTGGGGGAGCTGGGAGGGGGCCTGCTGTTTCTGGGCTGGGGCCCTGGCTGGTCAGCAGGGCTGGGGACAGTGACAGGTTGTCTGCAGAGTGGCATCTTGCAGACAGGCCTCAGATCTGTTACGTGTCTGGGACACAGTGGGGTGTCCTCACTGAGCTGTAGCAATGCCTTATGGGTAACTTTCTGAGGAGAGCACTGTGGCTCTTCTCCCCTAGGGCCTCCACTGCCTGCCCCTCTGCCTCGGGAGAGGTTCAGGAATGGGGCGTTGGTGCAGCTGAAGCTAGAGGAGGGCGGGGCTCCCCAGGAAGGGGATGGGGAGGGATGCAGGGGCCAAGCCTCAGCCTGCCCAGTTGTAGCACAGGTGTTCTTGCTGCAGCTGGAGGACCATGAATACAAGCCTTTGGACCCTAAAGACATCCGCCTCCCACCCCCGATGCCACCCAGTGAGAGGCTGCTGGCTGCAGTGGAGGCCTTTTACAGCCCTCCGTCCCATGACAGGCCCAGGAACAGGTACAAGCCAGGATCCTGCACGAGGGGAAACCTGGGGAGGGTGGGAACCGCTGCTGTCTTGGCAGCTCATGCAGCAGCCAGGCTTCACCCAAAGTGTGTACACTTGAGGGAAGAAGGGGTGCCAGGTCTTGTGTCAGGGAGGACTCTCCCTGTAGCTGTGGCCCGGCTTGCACGTGCACACACATACACACAGGAGGCCCTTGGTGAGGGGGTTTAATTGAGACCCTTTAGAAAACAGACTTGGCACATGCCAGAGCTGCCCTACTGCAGGATCTCGCCACCCAGGATAGTTAAAGCCCCTTGCCCTGCAGGCACAGGCCTGTGTCTGTGGAGCAGAGCTGTTCATCCTGTTAGGCTGATGGGTCCTCAGGTCTTCCTGGCAAATTAGCCACGTGTGGGGGAAGCCAGGCTCACCCTTAGCGTCTGAGTGGAGTGGGTAGTCTCTGGCATGTGCCCATGCACTGAGAGAAGTAGGGAGGGGTCCTGGCCCACAGTGGTTCTGCCATAGGCCATCTATCTGGTACTTGCCATGGGGGCCTGTCATGGGAGACGCCCTGTCTTGCAGTGAAGGCTGGGAGCAGAATGGTCTCTACGAGTTCTTCCGAGCAAAGATGCGGGCCCGGCGGAGGAAAGGCCAGGAGAAGAGAAATAGGTGAGGATGCCAGTTCCTTGCCGTGTGTCCACGGGGAGTCAGCTCTGAGCACACCCCACCTCATCAAGCCAGGCCTTGGCCTGAACCCTATGATGCAGGGACTACATCTAGGGAGACAGGTGGTGTGGTTTGTCCAGCCTGGTGTTAGGGAATGTGAGGTGGCAACAGCCAAGTTGCTGTGACCAGATGGCGCCTCGACTGTCTCTTAACACCTGCTTCTCTCACAGTGGGCCCTCTAGGTCTCGGAGCAGATCCAAGAGCCGTGGGCGCTCTTCCTCCCGATCCAACTCAAGGTCCTCCAAGTCTTCAGGCTCCTACTCGCGCTCACGTTCCCGCTCCTGCTCCCGCTCCTACTCCCGTTCCCGGTCCAGGTAGGCAAAGCTCTGGCTGGGGCAGCTCACAGTACCAATACTGTTCTGATGCTGTTTCCAACATTGTGACGTGGTGTCCCTTCCTGCCGCAGGAGCCGGAGCCGGTCGCGCTCCTCAAGAAGCCGGTCACGATCCAGGTCCCGGTCCCGGTCCAAGTCTTACTCGCCGGGCAGGAGGCGTCGGTCCCGATCGCGGAGCCCAACCCCGCCGTAAGATTTCTATCTTAACTGTCGTGTGGCCTGCGGGTGGAGCTGGATCCTCCGGTGCCAAGCTGTGAACGTGTAAACAGTGGGCATTAGAAGAACATGTGGGCTCCGGGTGAGGCAGCCCCAGCCACTGTGTTAGTGTGCACGGTGGCTACATGACAGTCACACCTCAGTCACCTGTGTATAAAGCCCAGGTAGTGGCTGGGCTGTGTGTTCTCTAACCGTTCTAGGGGTGCCTGAGACCTGTCCTTGACGCTAAGCGTGGGGCAGGGTTGTCCTCCGAGGGAAGCCCCTTATCTGACTGAAGTAAAAGAAAGAAGAATGGTAGAAACAAAGGATACGTGTATGTCCATCCTATAACGGTGAACGTCCGTGTGCGCCACACGCTGTAACATCCTAACCATTCCAATAAATGTGGCCGTGATTTTTTGAACACCGTAACCTGTCTTGGTTTTAGTTCCTCGGCCGGTCTGGGTTCTAATTCTGCACCGCCTGTCCCTGACCCCAGGCTCGGAGAGGAGAACAAGGGACACCAGATGCTGGTGAAGATGGGTAAGGCCCCTGGGACCCTTGTCAGCAGCACGCTCCTTGTAGCGGGGGCGGGTCTACAGATGGGGAAGCTCCACGGGGTGGCTGTGTGGCCTGCTAGGCCGTCTCCACGTTCCTGAGGGGCACATTTGTGAATAGTCATCAGGGCGGGGCACAGGCCCTCACGGCTGGTTCGTAACCACGTGCCTGCCTCCTCCAGGCTGGAGTGGATCCGGTGGCCTTGGTGTGAAGGAGCAGGGCATCCAGGACCCCATCAAGGGCGGGGATGTACGGGACAAGTGGGACCAGTACAAGGGCGTGGGCGTGGCGCTGGACGACCCCTATGAGAACTACCGCCGCAACAAGAGCTACTCCTTCATCGCCCGCATGAAGGCCAGGGATGAGTGCAAGTAGTGGCCGCTGCAGCACTCAGCTGCCGGAACCTTCCACTGAGGGCAAGTGGGAGCTTCCGACCCAGTCTCGTCCCTGGGAGGAGGTGGAGGACTGAGGCCGCCCAGGGACAAGGCCCTGCTCCACAGAGAGGAGGCACTCAGGCCTCGCCTGCAGCCACCTTCACTCAAGGTGGATGTGCTGTCAGTGCGACGCCAGCCTCTGGTTTTCCTTACAGTGAAGTGAGACACCAGACCCTCCCCAGAACACGGACACAGGAGGCCACACCTCTCTCCCCACCGGCGCTGAGCCTCCTGGACCAGCAGATGCCCAAAAGGAGGCCCCCCTGTGGCCTGGGTGCAGTGACAAGAACCAAGGCCAGGCGTGCTCACCATTCCCTGTTTAAAAATGGAAGCCAAAGTTGAACCAGGTTTTCGTTTTTGCTCCAAATGGTTTAGTGTTAGAAGCAGGAGTGTTGAGGCCATCTGTGAGAGCACCGGGAATCTGCCCCTCAGATGCACTGGCCCGAACTTCAGTTCCTTCAGTTGGAGAAGTTGATAGTTTTTCTCAAACGCTGGCTGTTGTCTGAGAAGTAGGTTCTGAGGAGCAGGTCTGAGTGTCTTGGGTCAAGGAGTAAGGCTGAGGGCCAGCCCGCCCACCCAGGCCAGGTTCCCCATTCAGCACCTACCCACCTGGGCTGAGCCCTGCATTCAGCGCCCACCGGCAGCTTGGCCCAGCACTGTTTATTTGTACAGAACCATTTTTGAAAAATTCTTTTCAATAAGATGCAAAGCCTCTCCAACTTTTGACCCCAGGGGGATAAGACATTTGATTTTGTTTTAGATTTCCTGTAGCTGTGAATAGTTTGAAAACATCTGATTCAGGATACATAAACATGTGCTATTAACAATTTGTGGATTTTACTGTTTTGCCTTCAAATAAAGATGTTTTTTTTAAAGAACTTACTTTTTAACCCTGCGCGTCTCTCTGAAGCACGGTCAGGCAGGTGAGGAGCAGGCAGGTCCTATGGGGAGTTTAGGGTCCAAGGCTCTGCCCTGGTGTCTTGGCACAGTGTCCTCCCCAGGTCTCTGCCTGGCCAAGGCCACCTGGGCTTTTTCCCTACAGACCTGTGTGGGGTCCTGCAAGTGCCAGGCACAGCCTACTGCTCTAGCACTCAGAGGCAGCATGCAACAGGATATGGGGCCGCGGGGGGAGTCTAGTCTGGCCCTTCCCTTTCCCCATCACATGGAGACGGTGACACCCAGGCAGGAATGTCACAGGTATGCTGAGCCACGCTTACCTTGCATTCACGACTCCTTCTGTACCTCCTCCAGGGCGTCCTCCAGGGTCAGTGGGGTTGGCTTGTGGCACCGGATATACTGTAGGTGAATGGCCAACCATCAGCACACATGGGTGGGGACAGAGCCTTTACCACCCTGGGTGATCCACTAGGAGCTGGGGAGGGATGCCAGGTCAGCTAAGGAACACTGACAGGCTGCCCCAGGACATGCAGGGCAGGGACATGGGGCTGTGGGGACAGCATGGCCCTAGAGTCAGGAGGGCAGCCGCAGCCTGGAGCGAGGCTGGCACTGCTCTCGGATGGGCCTGGGTCATAGTAGGAGACTGGGCATTGCCCTTGAGTGGCATGACCAGACCACTCTGACTGCCACATGTCCAGTAGGATGGACATGGTCACAACAGGTGACCCAGAAATGGGGCACTGCCAGACAAGCAACCTGTTCTCCATAGGCGAAGCACAAGGAAGAGGTGCTGGCGTGGCAGTGGTTCCCGGGGAGGTGGTCTCCGCCCTGTAGGCCCCAGGGCCCTGACGCTGTGCAGGCTAAGGGACCACTGCTCAGAGAAACAGTCTCAATGTGTGGGCTTTGTCTTGATTAAAAAGTTGTAACAAGAAGTAGGTAGCCGGCTCCGGTTGATTCTGACTCCTGGCAGCCCCACGTGTGTCAGAGAACTGTGCCCCACAGGGTTTCTACCGGCTGAGTTCTAGAAGTGGATCGCCAGGCCTTTCTTCTGAGGCACCTCTGGGGGGACTCGAGCCTCCAACCTTGTGGTGAGTAGCTGAGCACCATCTGTGCTACCAGTAAGTACCGTCCACACTTTTGTAATTACCCAAAAAGTTAACATTTTGGAGGGAGGAGAGCACAGCACCCCTTGGGCCATGCTCTCCTAGGACAGCAGGCGCTGTGTCCCTCAGCAGGGAGGACAGTGTCATCTAAGCTGCCGTTGCCCAAGAGCACATAGAGCCGAGCCTGGCTTCAGACCAGGCCTCCCTGGTACCCCAGCAGGCCCAGCAACAGTGGAAGGTGCTGGCCCTGATGCCCAAGCACCCCTCGCTGACTGGATGCATGTCGCCCAGCGTAGAGGACCCTGCCTCCCACCCGTCACCTCTTTGGCCTCTTCCAGGCTATGGTACTGGAAGACGTCCTGGTCCAGCGACGCCAGGAGTGAGGCGTGCAAGTGCCGGCTGGCCTCCAGGAACTGCTGCGTCAGAGCCAGCTGCTGCCTCAGCAGGTCATTCAGTGCAAACACGGCTGGGCTGTGGGCTGTCAGGGCTGCATACCGCCACCATGTCACTCAATAGCCCTGCATCCCCAAACACCCACTGCCCGTCCCCTCCTCTGGGGTGGGGGACGGGCAGCCCACCCCCCTGCCTCACCAGGCAGAGATGTGCTCTGGACCCACCACTCCTCTCTGGCGGGGTCAGGGCCTCATCAGTCAGTCTTGCCTTTCTTTGTCTACTCAGGAGTGAGGGGCTCCTTCCCACTGGGCTGTGTGGGGACTTCAGAAGCTGCCTGCGTATGGTGGTACCCAGCTGCTGCAGGTCAGCAATGGAAGCTCTGACCAGATTGTCTGGCTTTTCAGAGAGAACCACCAACTGCCATTAAGGTGACTGAGTCGTGATGACCCCGCGTGTGTCAGAGCAGAGCTGTGCTCCAAAGGCTCTTTGGTGGCTGGTTTTTGGAAGAAGATCCACAGGCCTTCCTTCTGACGTGCCTCTGGGGGTACCTGAACCTCCAGCTTTTCAGTCAGCAGCCAACTGTGTTCGCCCTTGACACCACCCAGACCAAAAAAAACAAACCCATTGCTGTGGAGTTGATCCTGACTCACCGTGATCCTACAGGACAGAGTAGAACTGCCTTGTAGGCTTCCCAAGGCTATAATCTTTATGGAAGCAGATTGCCACATTTTTCTCCCACCTAGCGGCTGGTGGATTCAAACTGATGACCTTTTGGTTCACAATCAAGCACTTAACCACTGCACTACCAGGGTTCCTTTAAACCACCCATGGACTCCTTTATAGAGAAAAGTGTTTGTAAACTTACATAAAAAAGTGTGTGACTGTACCAGGCTCACAGGTCTGATAGAGCCTGGTGAAACATCTAAGACTGTGGCCCTCTGCCACCCTTCAGGCCTGGAACTGAACAAACTCCTTATGGCTTCCAGCCAAACTAATTAGGGGTATGAGGTGAACATTTACATGAGGTAAATGTTGGAGCAATCAACTGTGGGAGACCAGAAGGGCAGCATTTGCACAGGCAGACAGCTCAGGGGGCAGGAATGCACAGGAAAGAAGGACACAGGGAAAATGTAACCACAGGCAGAAAGTGGGAAGAGAGCTGTTGTATTGTGGAGACTGTAATCAATGTCACAAAATAAAATGTGCATGAACTGCTGTGTGGAAAATGAATTTCCTCTGTAAACTTTCACCCAACTCACACATACACAAAAGTGTGTGACTGTTAAAAATGGTCATTACTGAGACCAAAGAATAACCTGGCAGTCTCTGAGATGACTCCAGAGTACAAAAAGCAGGATGTAAATGCTGCACAAGAGTTCAACACCCTGGTAACAAAAAAACCTCATGAAATAAGGGAAAAATTGGGACACAGATAACGGTTGGACAACATGATGAATGTAATTAATGTCATTGAACTGCACATGTGAAGACTGTAGAAATAGCAAATGTTTTGCGACATGGACAAAAAACAAAACAAAACCTGTTGGCGTTGACCTGACACTGACTCATGGTGAGCTGGTGTGGTACAGAGTAGAACTGCTCCCTAGGGTTTTCTCGGCTGTAATCTTCACAGAAGCAGATCACCACCAGGTCTTCGTGGTACTGCTTCGTGGGTCGGAGACACCAGTTTTAGCGTGGTAGTTGAGCACAAGCCGCCTGCACCACACAGGGGTCCTTATTACATGGATGTTTACCACAATGAAAAGAATCTCATGAAGAAAACTTGCAAAGGAAAAACAGTGGGTACCAGACCACCCTAACCTGTGCCACACATGCCTCCAGGGGCCCCCTGGGGAATATGTCCAGACATTCTAAGGTGACTTCTGGGGTGCCCTCTTTGTGACTCAGGCCAGGCTGGGGCCTAGGAGGCAAGGGCTGTGTCTGCCTGGCCAATGGCTGGGGGACAATACTGGTTTAGTGAGTAGTGTCAACAGGGATAAGCTATCAACTGTAGGCACAAGGGCTCAGGAGGGAACAAAACAAAAAGCAATGAAACGAGGCCTTGTGGGGTGTGCAGCTTACACATACACCTCTCACACATCCAGTGGTGTCATTTGATCCCAGCATGGCTGAGCTCAGAGACATGTCAGGCTGTCACTGGGGTCCATGTGGACTGTGGAACTGCAGTGGCCAAAGTGATCCGTGTCAGTGGTTCCCTTAGGCCCAGCACTAAAGGGGCGTAACACTCCCAAGAGTAAGCAGGGATTGGCGAGTCCTGTGCATCACCTATGGGCAGGTGGGGGGTCCACCAGCAGGTCCTTACCTTCTATTGTGTCTGCGCTGACCACGTGGCTGGCAATGGGTGTGGGATCCACGTAGGCACTTCCCAGGGAAGGGCTGATAGCTGCCACACCGGCCACTGCTCAAGGACAGAAAGGAGAGGGCCAGTGAGCAAGACAGAGGGCAGAGGTCAGCAGTGGACATGCCACAGAAACAGATGAAATGAGCCCACGCTTGCCTCTCTGAGCACAACCAACACACTACACTGCCTACTTGCTTCTCCTCTTCTGCTCTGGGTGTTTCTCAACAGTGGCCTCCTTCCTCCTCGTAGGTTTCCTTGGCTCGATGGGTCAGTCCCTTTCACTGGGTGAAGCAGTTGCTGCAGGTCACATCCTCTAACCATCAGGTCAACCCCGACTCATGGCAGCCCCATGTGTGACAGAGTACAACCCCTCCTTAGGATGTTCCTGGCTGTAACCTTAATGGAGAGAGATTTCCAGGCCATTCTTCCATGCCACCACTAGTGGGTGCACACCATCACCCTGTAGGTCAGTAGTTGGGTGCAGATCCTTTGCTCCACCCAGGGAGGGACCTTCCATGGCATCATCCAGGCCAGTGGTTATGCTGCCCTTTCCTCTTGCCTCTCACCAAACCTTGTCTAGGAAAATGTTTTATGTTGTAGGAAGTCACAGAAATGTGGACCAAAATGTGGACAGTTGCTGAACATGGTGTGGAGGGATGATGGGGGGCTGAATCACAGCCAGGGTTTAAAATGCCAGTGTAACCATTCTAGTGATCTGACTTAGCAAAATGTGATGGGCTATCCAAAGAAGGAACTATTCTGACAGCTGTGAGGTGTCAGAGCACCACACCAGAAGGGCAAATCAAGGGACCATGATGTCCCCCTCTGTTGTTGTTGTTGTTGTTAAGTGCTGTCGAGTCGTTTCCGACTCATAGCGACCCCATGCACAGCAGAACAAAACACTGCCCGATCCCGCGCCAGCCCCACAATCCCTGCTATACTTGAGTCCATC